AAATTTCAAATTAGTCAAGAACAATATGTGAGAATAATAGTGTTCTATCGTTCCACAAACATTATTTATCAATTAGCTTTGTTAACTAGGGTACGAATTTGATGAAGAGGCGAAAGTTCGGGAAGAAGAATGCGAATTACAAGGAAATTTACGTTATTTTATTAAATAATGTTTATTTACATAACTATATAACTATATAGGCATGATTTTAATTGTAATACATAAAACTAATATCAATTAAATGCGTGTTATAAAAATCGTGTGAATATTATTTAAGGATTAATATGTCGCAACTCAATTCACGTAATTTCGATAATATTTTAAATATGAAGAAAAGTTTCTCAGATCGTTTTGCCAAAAGACGCTTCTCCATTTCTCGACAATTAGGCATTACGGCTTTAACTTTTCTGCAATCTTATTTTGCCGGAGAGTCAATTTGGCAACGAAATAACATCCCACGCTTAATAAGCAAATATTCAACGTAGGTCGTCACTCAAAATGTCAGTTGCACTAGAATTATCAAATTTTAATAATAATTCAACACGTTTTCAATATACCTTCTGAATGCAAAAATAAGTAACGTACAGGAATGCATCTCTTAAAGATGGAGACCCGTAAGATTATAATACAGCTTAAAAATTTGTAGTCTCCTGTACCTTTCTGCGTTTAGATACACAAATACTTGTATTATTGTATTATATATAGTTTACATGAGTAGTAGACAATACTTTATAGGATTAGTACACTCAATGACGATCGCTTGGGAGTATTTCTGGGAACTTATTACTGTCATAAAACCTGTTATACACGTACTCGTATTTTCAGTGGCAGCGATAATTTAATAAAAATAGAATTATAATTTAATAAATAATTTTAAGATATAGTCACGATACGGGATTCCCTAAAATTTACTTTGTATCCTCTATAATTTTTCGATATTTTCATTTTACTTTTCCGACTGTTATAACTTATAACGGTGGGAAAGTATGGCAATCGGTCAAAAAATTCACCCTTTCAAGAGTTTTACATTTTTTGACTTAGAGATCCTTGAAACGTCAAGAAACGCGAAAAAGTTCGGTGGTTTTTTTTTTTTTTTTTACTGTATGTATGGATGTTAGTGTGGGGAGCCACAATTTTGTTCGCCGACTTTGAAACTTACTAATTCCTGTGCCTTTTGTCAAAAATTTCTGAAATTTTATAGGGAAATTTGTGTGTTAAGGGCACTGATGCTGTTAAATTTTGGTTGTTCAAAGTCCAGTGGATGAAGAGGTATAGGGGGTCGTGTGTCATACCTCGAATGGGGCCGGACTTAATTTAATGACGATTTTACTCGTTATTAACATTTACAATTTTTTTATAAAAATTACCTTTGCTCTCAAAATTAAACTGTTTGCGATTTTATAATAATTAATAATATTAAAAATTTTTAAAATAAAATCTCTTAACAGATGGCGCCATACACAATTTAAAATCTTTTGCCGCGAAGTTACTCAACTTGTTGGTGGATTTTAAAAAATTCGTAATCCCTATTATCCCCGAATAGGTTATTTTCGTTTTGTTTCAGGTGTTGTCGAAATTTCAACAAATAAGTTTTTCGAAGCAAAGTAAATTATTTGAATTATTTGATTAATTATTTTAAAATATCGATCATTATTTGAATAAATAATAGACAGAAAATAAAACTTCTTTTGATCTTGTAACAAATTAAAATACGTTTTATATAATAATTTCAAGTTTGATCATTGGTAATATACTTTTACTTTCCCTGCTGTTATGTACAGTACCTACAGATAACAAGGAAAAGTATAGTATTGTAATCATGTGACATTTGACCTTCCTGGCTTTTCGTAAACCTTCATGTTTTGAGACTCCAAACTCATATGGTTATACAGTAGGTTTTCAACTGTTATAGGTTATAACAGTGGAAAATATGGCGATCGGTCAAAAAATTCACCTTTTCAAGATTTTTACATTTTTTGACTTAGAGATCTTTGAAACGTCGAGAAATTCGTAAAAGTTTGGTGTTTTTTTTTTTTTTACTGTATGTATGGATGTTAGTGTGGGGAGCCACAATTTTGCTACTAATTCCTACTAATTACTAATTCCTGTACCTTTTGTCAAAAATTTCTGAAATTTTAGAGGGAAATTTGTGTGTTAAAGGTACTGATACTGTTAAATTTTGATGGTTCAAAGCCAAGTGGATGAAGAGCTACAGGGGTCGTGTGTCATACCTCGAGTGGGGCTGGACTTAATGACGATTTTACTCGTTATTAACATTTACAATTTTTTTATTAAAATCATCACTGCTTTCTTGATTGAATATTAGTAGGAATTATAGCTTGTACACAAGATATATTCAACCGGTTATGTTGTGATATCACTGTTGGTAATCAGTTAGGGAAAATATTTACGTAACATATAAAAACAAAATGATTTCACGTAAGATCTCTAATACACTTCAAAGTAGTTTACCTTTAGATTGACTAACCTTCAGTTTTCAGAGTAGTTAAGTTTTTATAGATATGTAAATGATAATGTATAGAATAATACGATTTGCATGGCTCGACCATATGAAATATGGTCCAGCTGGTTAAGGCATCAACCTACTGATCTCGGAACCTTGATCGAAATCAGTTGAGCGAGGAAGAACAAGAATTTTTCTTGGGCGATGTCCCAAATATAACGGGCCTCTTCTAACTACTTCGGCTGCCCATTGTGAGCTTGCTGAATCCACGATAGGCCGGACCTTGGATAAAGCCCTGTTAAGTCTGATAGTCACATGCGGCAACGGACGACTGAAACCGTCGACGGAACGGCAAAATGACGTCACTTTTGCCGTCGAATCCGACGGAATACGATGTTGAAAATTTTTAACTTTTGCCGTCGAGGAAAGCGGAACGGCAAAAATTTGACCAATAGGAAGGCCGTTTAGCAATGTTGTCATAATGATCACGTGGGACGATAGCATTCGTACTATGCCGATCGGCAAACTAAAAAGCTTTATTTGTACACTAATACGCTAATATATTTCATTTATACGCTATATTACTTTTCGATTTAAATATTAATGTCAAATAGACTTACTGCGTAAAGTATTGGGAATGGAGTAAGCGTAATTAGGCGACGAAAGTATTCGATATTCCTAACTTTCGACGATTTAGAATATTTTTCCTATCCAAATTATTCGTTTCTGAAGTTTTTTATGTGATAAGATCGAAGAGTAAAAAGTTTAATTGATATAACAAAGCAATCCCGGTAGACTCCATTTTCAACTACTGGCACGTGGCCTACCTACTATAGTAGCTTGTTTATATTTACGGCTGGCAGATGGCGCGTTTTAATTGTAGGATAATTTCCGCACGTGAGCACACGCGATACGGAAAGACAACGGAACGGCAACCATTTCCATCGACGGTTTCCGTCGTCCGTTACCGCATGTGAGTACCAGGCTTTAGTGTCTTCAGAGCGAAAAAAATCGAAAACAAAAAACAAAAAAAACTTTAGTGATGAGTTGTTTCATCTCAGTGAAAATTCATAACTGCAGAATTTTAGTCTTCGAAAATTTACAACTAGGAATATGTTCGTGATAGTCGAAAAGTGAATGTGTTTTGTGCTCTTAGAAAGTATACAGCTCCCTTTTTCCACGAGATAACCATAGAACGAATCGTGTATCGTGTTGAAAAATTTTCCCATTTCGTAGTTAAACGACGATGACACAGGAGGACGCATGTACAGTACTTTCTAAAGATGGTGCATCACTCCGTACGTAGATGTCTGGGATTTCCTCGACAAACGTTTCCCAGGTCGATGGACTGGTCGGGTAGAGCGGATAGCATGACTTGCTCGCTAGCCAGATTCGATAACTCTCGACGTTTTTTCTGGGGTTTCATTAAAGACCCGATATTTATTCTGCCTTTGAAAATCTTACTATGCTCAAAACTCTAATCATCTTCGCAGTTACTGATATGCTGCTTTTAATTAGGCAAAAAAATTAAATTCAGGTGGGATGTCCGCTTTATCACTAATGGTTTTCACGTCGAATCAAAATGACTGCTTAAGTTAAAACGATCTGTTGTGCTATAAATTAATACCTGAACCGATTCTGTTAATCTTCTGAATAAATTCGATGTTTTCAAAGTTGTAAAATCTTTTTTCAATTATCCTATTTAAACCTTATTAGAATATATTTTTGAAAAAAAAAAAACTTGCTTTAACCCATGATATATTCAACCGGTTATATTATAATTTCACTGTTGGTAATCAGTTAGGGAAAATATTTACGTAATTTAAAAACAAAATGATTTCACTTAAGATCTCTAATATACTTCGAAGTAGTTTACCTTTAGATTGACTAACCTTCAGTTTTCAGAGAAGTTAAGTTTTTATAGATATGTAAATGATAATGTATAGAATAACACGTCTACATGTGTCTTGTAGATGTGATATTCTAGCACAAAACAATGCGTTATTCTTTCAACAATAAAACCAGTGAAGTCATCTTCGATATATTAAAAAAAACTTTTCTACTATGAATATTAAAAGAATAGTTATCCTTCAATTACAACTCTTATTATTTAAATAATAGGAAATTATTTTGCTACTTTTGCATCCTGAATACCGCATCCTGCTTTTAAACTAAAATATCGTCTGCAATCTTTTACATAACATATTAAAAACGTTTAGATATTATTTAATTTTTATATTGTTTTATATTTAAGTAAATATAAGATTATTCTATCAATTTATTAAAACGAAATAATACTTTGTCAATTCTTAAATTTTTTATGTTTGTTATATTTTTGAATTAGTAGTTTTATAGCATATAATTATAAATATGATAAACTTTTAAATAAAAAAATCTACTTGTCAATAGAAAAAATTATTAGACCTAACTTTAAGTTGGTTTAGGTTCAACCAATGAAAAAACAAAACCTTTATGACCTTGATGTGAACACAGCTATATATTCTCCTACGAAGGCATGTATTAGTCAGTTGTTTAGTAAGTAGGTATTTACAATCTTATGTTCATCATCAGTTATATTACTTTGATTTCGATTTATATTTGCCCGACTGCTGCCTAGATAAAGTTTGTTTCACTTCTAAATCACGATAAGGATAAAGGTAACGCTTTATGATTTTATTTTTTAATTAATTTATTTAAAGATCGTCATTAATTTGTTATTTAGTAAACTAAACTTTAATATTTTATTTAACTTTCTACGATCAACTTACTTCTTAATAATATGAATTTTTTTTTCAGAGAAATTCAATACAGTATTCAATTTGCTAATTTAATAAATTATATGAACGGAAGGAAAACGAATTTTAGAAAAGCATTCTCAGATTTCGTAACAGCTACTTTCTGAAATTTCCTGTCCGTTTACTAGAAAATTATATTTATTTTCTTCGTTAGATTATAATTATTATTATTTAAACTTAGATAGTTATAAGAAACATAATAATAGTCGGAAACTTAATTTTAAAAAATAGAATTTATGAATTTGATTAATTGTGAATTTTATATTAAAAATATATTTTTAATAAAAATGTTCATGTTATTGACTCATTTAAATGCTTAAAATAATATAAACATGTACAAAATAACTTCACAATTTGAAAGATGTATTGATACAACGAGGTAAAATGTTGCAAAGTGCTTTTTTTTAATCACGTAAGCAACGTATTTATTTTTCATGAATTTAAACAATTTATGAAGGTAAAAGACATTTCAAAAAAATATATAACTTTTAATATTTAAAAGCGTCACGGTTTTTGAAAACTAAAATGCGAATTATTAAACAGTCCTTGAAAAACTCTTTCGAGGTCATCATTCTGAATGTGTAAAAAAAAAGAATGCAGATATTTGGATCATTTTAGTAGACACATTCTACAATTATACTTGAAAATGAATAGATAAAAAAGTAAAGAAAAAAATGCATTTATTTTTGTATGAAGTAAAAATCAAATAATGTGCAGCGAATTATGTTATTAATTGTATTGTTTTAGTAACTATTTAATTAATGCTAATTTGTTTATTTATTGTTAATTTGTTAAACTTAAGTCTATTAATGTTAATTTATAAAAGTTTAAGCAGATTTTTACCAGACCTATATAATTAGTTTTTTTAGATTATAACTCATTTCTGCACTTATAAATCAAATTTTCATTTAATTAAGGGTTATTATACCATGAATATTATATTATTAGATATTATTTTGAAAGTGTCAATGCATTCATTAATTTTTAACAATTTAGCTATATATCTACGGTATTTATAAACCTTTAAAAAGTTTCATTGCATTTGCTCAAACTGTGCTTACATGTATAAAGAATAAACTTCCTTATTTACTAGATTAATGCGGAAATTGGTTCACGCTATTTGAATGTATAGTAAATGAAAATTATATCATTTTAAAAGACTTGGTAAGGATCATTCTTAATGACTTTTGTTTGTAATCTCTCATTTATTCCCACCTTACTGATAATTGTAAGAAGTAGAAATGTATTGCTGGAAGTCAATAACTGCAATAAATCTGTCATATTTGTACGTTTTGTGCAGTAAAAAACTCACTGTTATGTTGGATACAATTTATAAATTTAAATATTAGTTTTTGTGTGAATCGCCATTTTTGATCTACTAGCTGTTAAAAAGAAATATTAGAAAATTCCCATATTTTATTTTTTGGGGGGAATCTCCGTATTAGTTATATGCTACTGAACTTATGCTTGTTAGAGACCATTAAAAATTACGACTTTAAAGGTGCAGCTCGTGATTTTTAAGATTTTATTAACGTTGTTTTGGTTCTAATTTGTTCGGTTATCGCTTTTTCAGACTATGTATTGCAATTTTGTTTTCAAGAATACTTCTGGAATAATTTCTATTTTCTGAATCAAATTCCTAAATTGTATCTAATAAAAGTAAAAATATACTGTTCAAAAAAAAATTTTATTTTTCTAAAATCAAAAATATAAATTTTGAATCGTCTTGATAAAGAAAACAAGATATTAGACGTCGCAAATATATTAGGCTATACGTTTAAATTTAAATTAAGCAAAAACCCTAACCAGAAAGAAAAAGAAAATTAAAACTGACATTGCTGCAGGACCTTCTATTTACTCAAATTTGATAGATTTTGTTAGCTTTTTAATTATAACTCTCTTTCTTGTACCGGTTCTACGTCCTTTATAACAAGAAAACAATAATCTTTCAAGCCTTTTCGGCCAATCTGAATTTTTAAAATACAGGTTATTTGTTTGTGCCAATTAAAATTTTTCTTCTTTTCATGTTATTAGAATTTTTCCGCTAGAGGACATCGTTTTGGCAAGAATTTCGAATAAGATTTAGATAGCCAATCAGCTGATTCAGTAAACTCGTGTTCTTTAAACAGGTTTGTTTTTACTTCTACTATCTTCATGTAATATTTTGAAATAATATTAAACATGTGTCAAAACAAGCTAAAAGACTATAATCCTTTAAGTGGTAGGCTTATATCTCCTCACCCAACTTTATGGATAATTACAAGAGTCATCTCGTCACGCGTGGTTTGCAGTTACTTTTGCGTAATCTCTATTAAAGTAAATTTACTTTTATAAAATGTCATTGATTTATATAATTGCTATTTGTAAAAAGCAAAGAAGATAACTAATAAAGCACTTTTTCCTCTTGGCTCTCTCTGTAGATCCTGATACCGTATGATTGTTTGAAAAATACATGCTATCCAGTATTGAAAAAAGTCAATTATTTTTATCGTGTGATCACGATTCAAAGAGAAAATTACGTTTCCGGAAATATCCAAAAACAATGTTTCGCACAAATAAAGACCAATTATTCCATATATAATGTTATATGAGAAAATCTAATTTTATTTTAAAAAATTCAGCTAAAAATTACTTGTATAATACAATACATTATATATGACAGGGTGAAGTTTGAAGGGTTTCCGGGAATGTAATTTTCTCTTTGAATCGTGATCAGACGAGAAAAATAATTGACTAAACATGTACAAAATAACTTCACAATTTGAAAGATGTATTGATACAACGAGGTAAAATGTTGCAAAGTGCTTTTTTTTAATCACGTAAGCAACGTATTTATTTTTCATGAATTTAAACAATTTATGAAGGTAAAAGACATTTCAAAAAAATATATAACTTTTAATATTTAAAAGCGTCACGGTTTTTGAAAACTAAAATGCGAATTATTAAACAGTCCTTGAAAAACTCTTTCGAGGTCATCATTCTGAATGTGTAAAAAAAAAGAATGCAGATATTTGGATCATTTTAGTAGACACATTCTACAATTATACTTGAAAATGAATAGATAAAAAAGTAAAGAAAAAAATGCATTTATTTTTGTATGAAGTAAAAATCAAATAATGTGCAGCGAATTATGTTATTAATTGTATTGTTTTAGTAACTATTTAATTAATGCTAATTTGTTTATTTATTGTTAATTTGTTAAACTTAAGTCTATTAATGTTAATTTATAAAAGTTTAAGCAGATTTTTACCAGACCTATATAATTAGTTTTTTTAGATTATAACTCATTTCTGCACTTATAAATCAAATTTTCATTTAATTAAGGGTTATTATACCATGAATATTATATTATTAGATATTATTTTGAAAGTGTCAATGCATTCATTAATTTTTAACAATTTAGCTATATATCTACGGTATTTATAAACCTTTAAAAAGTTTCATTGCATTTGCTCAAACTGTGCTTACATGTATAAAGAATAAACTTCCTTATTTACTAGATTAATGCGGAAATTGGTTCACGCTATTTGAATGTANTCATAATCAATTATTAAGTTATTAAATATTTAAAAGTAGTAATTTTTGAATTTTTTCTGTTTAGTTGATGACGTTGTTTTTACCTACTGACATATTGAAATAAAAAACTTTAAGCAACAATACAAATTAATTTAAATGCTTTGGCCTTATTTTATAATACTTTTATAAATACATTAGATAGGGGTACTTTACATTCGATAAATAATGTAATTGTTAATTTTAAAACCGGAATTTAGTATCGCGAGCTCAAAATTGTTAATTCTAAAAATTCATATTAGATAACGAATCACAGATTTAATATAATTTTAGAATCATTAGTAATTAAATAATTTCTTATATTTAACATTTGTTACGCATAAATATATTTAACATGATTAACTTTTGAATCTAAATGTTAAAATATAATTAATTAAACATTTTTGTACGACATTTTAATTTATTAATAAAATAATTTTAATATATTTAAAATAAAAAAAAAACGCTTTTATTGGTAATACTTTTCGATATTGGGGATGGGGAATGCGGGTGACCTCACCACGACCATATAAGCCTATATCATTACAGTGATTTATACAAGCGCATTCACATCGTGATTAAATTCTACATTTGGTTATATCTGTAAGGTTTCGAGGTGGGCTTCTCTCTAAAACATCTTTAAAATATATTATCATCAGACGTATTTCCTCAAAGTTTCATCTTATATCGTAATTAGAAGTGAATGAAATTTAAGTTGTAAGATTTGAATACGATACAAATCAAGTTAAATAAAAGTGTTTAATTAATATAACCTTTCATTACGCTTGTTTAATTGTGTTATATTAAAACCGAGAAAAACTAAAATTAGAATACTTTTAGTTCATTTTTATCATGCAAATCAAGTCATAATTTAAAAATATTGACTTTACTCAGAGATTGCATATATTATTTTGTCATATGTTGGTTTAATTAATAACTGCCTACTAACGGATATAAGTTAGAATCTGAACTACAGGATAGGTGGAAAGTAACTAGTCATTGAGAAATCGCTGTAATTTTAACACTTCAAAAGCAACGTTAATGAAAATAACTTAAGCATGTACAGTACGGCCACTTCTTTCTATATGCAACTGAACCTGGGATCATTTTAGCTTGGAATGACAACTCTTGATTGTTTACGTATGGATTGTGGCAGGCCGTTCCTTCGTCGTATGCCACCATCACTGCACATCAACCAATGATTTATAAACCGTATAGGGTGCAGTAATCTGCGCTCGCTCCTGAACAAACAAGTGATCGTCATTCTTTTTTCTACTAACGTACGGATTCTCTGGGTTTCTGTTCACACC